TCGAGGCAGATGAGCCGGTGTCATGGGTCGTGCAGTGTGATAAAGATTGGTTTTGTTGGGTTTGTAGAATAGGTTGTACGAAAAATACAATTATCATTGATTTTTGGAATAAGTGAAGTAATGAGTGATTCGTAATTGGAGCAGTTGATGTATGGAAATATAAATAGCGATGAAGACAGTAAGAGCTTTGCATTGGATACTTTATATGGCTGGTTTCTGGGAATAAAAATTATGTGTCAAATGGAAGGAGTGTGAGAATCAGATTTGGAGATTTTTAGGATTTTATAGACTCACCGCGAATTTGATATGGGATGAAATATGAGGATTTTGGGAAAGAATTAAAAATTTCGAGATTTTTAGTATTTTTTAGACTCGACGTGAATTATGGTGAATTAGTGTGGGATTAGTATGGAATGAAATAAGAGGATTTGTGGAAAGCAATTTTTCGAAATTTTTAATATTTCGTAGACTCACGACGAATCTTCGAAATTCTTGCAATTGAAATTATTTTTAGCAATCCTATTCCTTTATTTTGATTAGTTTCGAGCGATAATTTTATTAGCCGCGACAGGATTATATATGTTATCATTAGAGACGCGCAATTTATAATCTGAAAAAAATGAGAAGTGAAACTTTATTTATGTGATGTTGCACAAGAGATCCAAACATAGTCGATGGTTCGCGTAATCTGTAGCCAAAAATAGCTATCGAAAATCTTAGAAGCCCAGCCTTTCAACAGTTTGTGGATGTCCAATGCTGCTTTCTTATCGAGAAAGGAATCAATAGAAGCAGACTTTGGTATTTAACATATTACATTAATAGCACGCGAGTCAAGTTCTGCAGTATCCTCGCCGATGATGCATTTCATCCGTGCAATTTGAGTATAAAGTAATAAAAATGAAAAGTTCCCATTTGATAGCATAGAAATTTTCTTAAATTTTATAAACTTTTTTGTACAAAAATTGGTCGTCTCCTTTTTGGACCATTTTTGCTTCAATTTTCATCTCAATTATCTTGTACTAATAATTCAAGACTTTGGTGCAAAAATTGGTCATCTTTATTTTTGACCTTTTTTAGACCTATCATTTGCTATAACGAACAGTCAAATTCTACCATTAGTATAGTTCCTGTAAAGAAATTAGCAAAAGAAAATGAAAGGTGACTTTGAAAGTCACCTGTTCAAATTTTAAAGGTGAGAAAAAGAGATCGGGGAAATTTTTGTCATTTCCTGAAAAATCTTCAATTCTGGAGATGACGAAGTATTCGATTCTTCTTTCGACCAGACAGTAAATTTCGAAACTTGACGCTTCTCGCAGAATATCGCCAAATTTTTTCTACCGTGTGGACTCGTGTGCGATTGTAACTATAGCAGAGGATCTCCCTATCTCTCCCTCTCTTCTCCTTTTAGATTCTGTTATCTAAAGGAGCGTGGATATATCGCCGCGAGTTCATTATACGATCCAGACTATCGTATGGTCCGCGATCGGCCTTATTGAATTAGTATTCGCTGTTGAGTTTGCTTGGCGATTATCTGACGCGGTCTATCTCTAACGTACCTTCTGTTCGTTACGGTTGTCGTATCGGTCGCGATAATTATGGAAAGAAAATCTGGTTCAATTATACCTGTCGATAGCTCCAATAACCCTTTTCGCGAAACTGAGTGGTCAACGAGAGTCTCGAGACGTAGTCAAGTTGGAATGAAAATTTTTATGTTATTAATTTTTACAGTGGAAAATATAAATTTGAAGTATTCTTTCAGTCAAATTAAATATCGTGGACAGATGAAATTTCGTATCTTACAAAATTAAAAATAATACTAATTGATCGACTAAAAATGATCACTTTATCTTAATACTGAAATTAGCGTCTGTATTTTAAATAGACTACCGGCCAAAAGTATTGAATCTGCTGTAGATTTGAGACCAATAGCAATTTACCTCAAAAAAATTTGTTAAAAAATTCTTAAAATTGCTAATTTCTTTCTGGAAATTTTCGTGTAGCTTGTAATACACGGTGATCCTAAACTTTTGCTTGTTCAGTTCTAATATAATTCCATTATTAAATCCCTGAAAAAGTGTTAAAAATAAAAATTTCACCCATAAGAAAAATGATCGAATAATTCTTAACAAAGTCAAACTAAGAGTCCTAAAAGTCTCGATACTCTGGCTGCTAAAAACCATCAGGAACAACGCTACTGCTGCCCCATGGAGGGTAAGAAAATTTCGTTTGGAAAGAAGAACCGCGTGGAACGTGTTCGACAATTCCGTCCCCCGATCGAGGAGGGTCTCGTCTCGATCATAACAGGCAGTCGCGAGGGTTAGTTTGATCTGAGATAGGACCGAAATCATGGGGCGTAACGATGAAAGAAGAGGGCGAGCGCGCGACGAGGGGATGTTAAAAGTTCGCTTCTCCATTTTTGTGGCCATCGTGTCGAAAACAGTGGCTTAAGATAATTAACGGACACGTTGCGTTTCTATTTTCTAGATTAGCCGAGTGGAATTTTCCGAATATGGAATTATAGCAATTTCGTGGTTTCTTCGTGAGGAATCGATTTAGCAATGATAAGTGAAGTGTTAGGTTGGTCCATAGGTTCATGGTGTTTTCATTTCTTCTACAATGAAATTCAGAACATTTGCCTTCCTATTTCTTCTTTTCCTCTTTTACATTATCGCGAGTTTCTTCATTCTGTGCTAATAACGAGAAGATTTTTGTTAAAAAATTATGGACTGTCTGTTAGCTTAACAAAATTGAGCATCTCTGACATATTTTGCATTTGACGAGTTTAATCGTGGTTCTACATAAAGTTGCTACCAAAAATGGCTCTTCAGGATCTTGAATGGGGTAGTTTCTTTTTCACTCCCATCCTAAATACTCTAAATGGAGTTTCCTTGAAAATAGGGCTTCTATAAAATCATTCGCAAAAGTCCAAGTGAAAATAATCACATGTGCTACCTGTTTTCTTTCTTGTTTTTCGTGTTAAAGTAGAAATTCTGGAAATAATTAGCCGAAAACGTGACAGGTCCCGCTACTTACTTTCCCGGCGACGATTCAACATGGCGGGGCGGTCTCGACACGCGAAGGAAGTCGGCGGCTGGTTAAATAACCGGTTTCCTAATTCGCCTCGCCGTCCAAGTCGCGCTCGTGTCTAATTGCATACCATCTATGTCGCGCCGTCGTTCTAACACCTGTCTTACGAAAATCCATTAGCGGCGTGCAGGCCCAAATAGTCGGCTGACGGGCGAATTTGTAGCTTCGTGGTCGTGGTCGAACGACAACCGACCCACCATTACAACCATCAACCTCCTCTCCGTCTCTCCTCGCCCACCCTCCCCCACGTTTCTCTCGATTCACCGTTTTCGCGCCTTGCGATCCTCTCGAGGACGAGCGTCGTTTTTCGCGCGACGGAAGCGTCGCGGCTCGTTACGCCAGAACGATGAATCGTCGGCTTCTATATTGATTTCGTCGAGCGTCGGTTCGTTTAAAACGTCGACGAGTTCTTTTTTTTTTTTTTCTGTCTATTTTTCAGCCACGTCCTGGCGATGGCGTAATGGATCGCACCGTAACGCGAACTCCTGCGATAATTGCGCGTGGCACTGTGTAACGAGAGATTTGAAAAATTTATTCAGATGTGGAAGTTTGGTTTGAGATTTTTCGGGAGGATAGGAAGGTTGTGGAGGATTTTAGGAAAGGAAGGGTGGTCCAAGATTTTTAAGAAGGAAAGAATGATCTAAGAATTTTAGGAAAGGAAGAGTGATCTAGGAAAAGAAAAAACGGAGGACGTTTTAGTGAAACACGTGTTGTTATCAGTTGTAGCTAGAAATGTATGGTAGAGGCCATAGTGCAGGTTACGATGATAGGCAGAAGTGTATAAAGCTCTGCTTCACACTTCAGCGAGACTTAATCCTGACAGACACCAGTTCTCTGACAGTCTTCGCGGACAAGATAAGGATTCTGACGTGCCGACACGGCCTCGAAACTGTCGAAGATAGTTAAGACAAATAATTAAGTTAAGAAAATAATTTTGACAAAATGTTAATACTTCAAATGATCCTGAACCTTATATGGGTCAGCAGCATTTTTAGACGTCATTCGAATAAATTTTTATTCGATTTCAATTCCTCATTCGGTCATCCTTTCGTTCATTTGTTCCCTCATAAAGTTCAACATACCGATACCCTCTTCATCTCCCATTGACAGACCTTTCTCCTTACGGTTAATCCACCTCTCTCCCACAAGAATCCCTCAAACAAAATCTCCGAGAAAAGACCGACGCTTTAAATCAAATTTAAATAAATTTCCTCAA